GGGGGGGGGGGGGGGGGGAGTATGGAGGAAAGAACGTTCACTCTTTCAAGTGTAGCTCGGATAAGGCTCCACGCCTATTAACCTAGATGACCTACATGTTGAACGCTTCTACAAATTTACGAAGTAACAATGCTTGACGTTGCCGAGATACTGCTGTACGTTGACGAAAAGAAACACTAACATTGTGTTGCGACACCAACATTGTGTTGCGATTTGAGGCGCAACACTACGATACATACTGATGTGTTGCATGTAGCACACACCAGATACTGTTGCCCACTATGTCCGCCCGTATTGTTTCTAACTACTACTAGTAATAATCAGGAAAAATAACTTTTGTGAACATCAGGGTTCGGCCGTGACGCCTGGCAACGTGCGGTACAAGGAACTGGTTCCTTGAGATGAGAAATACCACATATGTTACCTTGAATGAGCCCCTGCACTTAACATGTATAAGCAGGTTGCAGGTGTACAGTCAGACATGCAGTAGACTACAGCAGTTGAGGTCGACATACAGCAGTATCCCTCTCCGGCAGTTACGATGGGCCGTCCACACAGAAGCACACGAACAAGGTTGCACTACGTGCTACTATGTGCGAATACATGAGTAAGTGCATTGGCAAAGAAAGAGTACAGGGGTTAGGTGGTACAAACGAAGGGGTTGACAGTGCTTGAAAGCGAGGTGCATGATGCGGTTGTAGCAGTCTGAAAACATCACAACGCATGATGCAGAGGTGCTGCATCAGGACTTCGGTCTGACCAACTACGCTTCTCAGACTTGAGAACAGCAGAAGTCATGTGCGAGATACGTACAACCAACAAGGTTATTCTCAACAAGCAGTGGTTCTTCCCCCTCGTAACGACCAACCGATTCTCACCTTCTTCGTCGCGAACTGTCGGCCATCCTGCAACTCACTCACTGCTGCTCATCCGCCGTGCGTGCTGTACTGCCAGCGCACACTTCAAGGCTGATACACCCGACGTGCGTCAACTCTCGCAACAGCCCTACACTGCTGTTCCTGCAATTCCCAACAACCTTCTCCCGAAGGACGCCGCCGAAAGGCACTTGGCCGCCAACAAGGGGAGGCGCAAGAGAAGAGATAAGGTGTGTAATAGCGGGCCGGGGACACAGAGAGGTGCCACATCAGACGTACATCAATGTACCACAGCAGCGGGGTAGGCTGGCTGCATACGAAGCCCCCAAGGGAGGTGTCGGTGATGCTCTCTGTGGGCCCCCCTACATGTTTTGCATGCAGCATGTGGGCCGGATGCGCAACCACCGCATCACACTACGCTCTGCTGACCTTTGAATAGAAGTGCTCTGCAGGTTGTCTGGTTCCGCCTGTGGTGCGAGATTCATCGCCATCTCAAGAGAAGCAGCACCGGTCTCTGTTCGGCGTGCTGCCCGAACAAAAATCGGCGTCAATACACACTCAACGGCTCAGCAGAGCGGAGGCAGACCACCCTTGGTTGAAGGACGGGGCAGCGAGTGAGAGACGTTGAGAGAGACACCCAGGGGCGGGGGCGTGCTCATGTGGAGGAAATGGGGCGTCGTCCCCCTCATCCTCGCTGCTGCTTTGATGGTGGCTGTACAAGGAGATGAAGCAGTCAAACCCGACCCCGCAAGGGCATACGCGTGAGTGATGCTGCTGCTGCTACTGCTGCTGCTCGGCGTGGAGCCAAGCTTGTGCTGTGTGACTCGATCATGTTTCCCCTCAGAGCGAGTTGCCTCGGTGTGGGTCCTCTATCCACTACCAACCTCTCGCGTCTGGTAGCGAGAGCCTCCGTTTCGTGCTCGATAGAAGCCGCGTACACGCAGTTCTCGGGATGACAATGCTGAGGGTAGGCGAGCAGCGTTTTCCGACGGTAGTGTTCATGGGCGGAAGAGCGGCAGCGGTCTAGGCTACACGAGCCTTTGTAATTTTACCGCAGTACTGTACAGAAGTGCGATTACAGCAGCATCGCAGCTTGATGGGGTTTACTGCTGTAGCCTCGAGCAGCTTCTTGTCGGCGCTGGTGGTTTGAGTGCTTGCGGTACACAGCAGTCCCTCGTAGTGTATGTACGCAGACGGTCCACGTGTCTTGTTGAACGATTACACCGCATCACGTCGCCCCTCCTTAATTAAGAAGCGCCGCCGCCATCTGTGTGACCCCGGCTCTCATCCGCTGCATGCCCAAAAGACAGAAAAGGCTTAAGGCGGGGGGGACATAATCGAGGAGACAAGGCGGGAGGGGGGAGCTACACATTACAAAGCGGATTTGTAGTGCTACGGGATGGGTCGAGCTGCTGCACCTTTGCGCAGACGTGATGATATCATCTGCGTCGTAGGTTCGAGCCGCGGGCGTTGCTGCTTCTGCACCCATCGCAAGACTCAACCGACCTACTCATCTCTCTTTTCTTGTGTGCCTGGTCACTATTTCTTCGCCATGTCTGCGTCCGTCTGTTGTTTTCTGTCCGTCTGCCTCTCTCATGTCGGTACGGCGGGGGGTGCGTAGGCACTTCGTGCAAGCAAACACGTACTACACCGACCAGGAGCTTGAACGGTGAGATAACTAAACCTACGCTAGCTAGGTGTCCCCGGCAGACCCCTACCTGCTTCGTTGTGTGTGATTCTACCTACGCGTCTCATATCTTCGGTAGCATAAAGAAGTATCCCACTCAGACGTTCTGTTGAAATTGTATCGCCTATAATAGTTAGGAGCCTTCGCTGGAGTTCATGGCGAGAGCTATTGCGTCTTGTTCTGTGCATCAATCCATGGGACTGAAACTTCACCTTGGTACACCACTGGATGAAAATCGTTGTCGGATGACGCGCCTCCTCCTCATCTCACTTGACATTGCTGCACGCAGGCAAACAATTCATGTAGCTGCAGCTGTAGAGTTGCTGTGCGGATTAGCTCCTGAGAACCGGGTGTCTCTTTGATGGTGCGTCCTCAATCATCTCTCCCCCTCACCCTTCCTATCCCCGTTGTCTCTCCTGGAAAAAGGGCGGTGGAAGAGTACAAGACGGCCCTCAAGTTCGACCCCTTACACGCGGACACCATGTGCAACCTCGGCAGCGCTCTTCAGGACCTGGGTGACTATCCGCTATCAAGGTGTGGGAGGGCGTTCTTGAGCGGCTTATCTGTTCCGGCATGTAATGGGAGAGTATCCCCTGTCAAGGGGTGGACGTTGTCGAGAGTATTAAAATGTGCCGGTATGTAGTGGGACTGTCCCCTTTCAACCTACGGAGGTAGTTGGCGACTTCCCCTCTCAACTTGTGGAGGGCGTCAAGTGATTTTGATGTACCGATATGTACTAGAACGTTGCGTTATCCTGTTGATGTCCTTGGAAAATCGGCTGGCCAAATGAAAAGGCGCCAAACTTCGCTGGACAAGAGGGCCAACATATGTGCTGCCCAAATGTGATTTCCTGAACCTTGCCATGACGTGATCACACGACGTCTGAAACACTAAGTCATCACTGTAGCGCCCCATCGCACGGAACATCAGAACAGCAAACGCAGCAGCGGGGCTCGTTGTGTGCACGTTCGTCTTCACGTGCACCTGATTCGAACGTGTCAATGCAAGACGGTCCTGGCACGTCCCTTGGCCGAGGTAGTGGGTTACATGGAGTGTACGGTAGCCTATGGTGGTCCTACAGTACGAGTCGGCCGAGGTCGGTGGGCGCTCGCAAGCTTGGGTTGAGCTTTGGGTGTTACCGTCAAATCGTTTCCTTGTGTGTTTGTGGTGGTTGTTGGCTTTTTTATTCTGTTTGTCTTTTCCGTGGTTGACATCGAACACCATCTCCCTTGGTGTCTCTTCCTAGAACCTCCACAAGACATCATCCGCACTGGCCCTCAAACATGTACATACGCCATCATGTGTCCGTTGTCAGGCACTACTACTCCAAGGCGGTGCAGGCTAACCCCTACCACGCCGTGGCGCACTTCAATCTGGGTCTGCTACTGCACGATGAGGACATTGACACGGCCATCGAACACTATCAGGTGGGAGGTGGTTCACAGTCGAAACCATGTGCGAAACAGATGTAGCAGTCGATACAGCAAGCAAACCTCTTTGTATTCATTCCATAAGGTATGTGACACCTACATTGAGCAACCCGAATCGTATCTCCTCCGCAGAGGAAACCTGTTGTCCTTGGAAGCTAGGTAGGTTCCACTGGCGACGATGCTCTGTAGATGGAATGAGAGTCAGCAAGAGAGCACATCTGCCTGTCTCCGTTGCCGAAACGTGTCCAATCCGATTCTTATATTTTGTTCCCTGAAACAGTAGCGAGCTCGTATCGCTTCAGCTCGATGGAAAGAAACAGGCGTTTCGGTGTCGAGTGCATTGTCGATTCAACTTAGCAGGACCTCGAATCACAAACACGAAAACCTGACAACCGAATCAAGTCTAATCTAGACGATGACTTCAAGCGTTGCGGGACGTTTTCATTCAAACCACCGCTGTCGGCCGCGCCATCCGTATCTAAAAGAGTGCCGTTGAGATGGACCCGGCTATGGCGGACGCTTGGAGCAACCTCGGCAGCGCGTACCACCGCGAGGACGACCTGGAAGATGCCCTAGGGTGGTGCGTGCCCACAGTGATGCTTTAAGTCAGACAAACTAACAGGTTGCTGCATGTCCTGACTAAAGCCAAACAAGAAAAATGAACAGGTTGTCACGTCACGTTGTAGAGCCGGCACGAACATGCTCGCAAACATATGGTTGGTAGGCAGTTGCATTCGTGCTTGACGGCGCTTGCTTTTTTGAGGAGCATGCTGTTGTGAACGAGAAATCATCTTAAGGACACACACTGCTGTGCAGACCGCACCATGTTTGACTGTTGCGATGCTTTTTTTGAGGTTTGCTCTTGTCGGCGGAGAGGCGTAACGTGTAGGTACATCTGATCGGCGAAAGAGCATGAAGAGCGAAGAGCTGTGAACCCCGCTGTATGGCTTAGGGGAATTAAGGGGAAGAGACGCGGAAACATGGCATTCCACCCTACACAATCAATCGCACCGACCCTACCTATTGAACGAGGAGTTGCTGCTCAACGAGGGATGCATGGTTCACGGGGCAAGGATGGGTACAGCTGGGAGCTCAACATCCGTACTGTACCCCCCACGATACACGACATTTTCTCCGTTTTGGTTGCATCCTGCTGTGCCCCCGTTTGGGCGTGGTCCTCCGGTTTTCCACAGTTACCAGGAGGCCATCAGACTTTACGAGACGGAGGAGGCCTACGAGGGGCTGCCGTTCACCGACGATGTCCTCGCTACGCTTAACTACCACGTCTCGGTAAGTGCCGCTGCAGCACAGCTGTCTTTGCCACCTGCAGCGGGCAGCTTGCAGTGCAATTATCTGCAGAGTGTGTGTGTGGACATGTGGATTTGTTGCAGGTTGTGTTGGAGATGTTGCACCCGTCGCTCATCCTTTGTTCGCGAATCCACGAACACTTCCGCGTACTGTCGTGTGCGTTTGCCATGATGGTTTTCGGCTCTCACGTCTTCGATGCCTCCCGGTGTGGGCAGATAATCCTGGGAAGACTGCCCGACGGGCGCTGCCTGCAGGGGGGCTGCTTGTCGCAGAGGATGGAGATTCTCCGGAGATGTCTCAGGCACGACCCGGAGCACGCTCTGGTGAGACGACGTGGCGTGGTGGTGGGATGAGATAGGACGTACGTGAGGTGACAGGGCATCCGTGGAACCTGACTTGACCATGGCACGTGTCGTGTGTGCGATGATCGGATAGGTGCAGATACGAGAGTATTGAGATGAGATGAGAATATTGGTGATGTCAGAAGACGCATCGCATTTCAACAGATGAGCTTGTCTGGGCTGCTGCTGCTGTTGTCGCTGTTGTACTGTGGCTAATGGCGTTGTGTCTCCGCCGATGTTTCCGCTCCTTGGTTTCTCTTGACGACGACAGTGCAAGCACAACCTGGAGAGCGCCCTGGGGGACTCGAGCATGACGAAGGCGTCTCCGGAGTATGTGAAGGTCAGCTGTCGCTACAGCAGTAGAGCGTTGCTGGAAAGTCAGGTTTGGCAAGAAGGAGAAGCAACAGTGGAATAGGGCTTGCGTCCGTGTACGTGGTCGCTCTTCTTGTGAGGCGGCGAGAGCTCAACGGCGGGTTGCTTGCAACAAGCATGTCGCACTCTGTCGTCGCTACTGTCGTTTGCTGTCGTTGGTGTTGTCCACGGGCTTCCATGGTACCAGGCTGACCATAATCATAACCACTTTTTTGGTGGAAGCCTTTGAAAGTGTTCAGCTTACACCAAGAGCGATCCCTCGAAAACGACGAGACTCCTGTTGTTCTTGATAGTGTTGTATTATTTATCGCTGGCTCAGCCCCTACCTGCAGTACGCCGTTCGCCGCGACACTGCGAAGCCCCCGACGGAACAATTTCGGAAGGGAGGCACAGTCCGCCCACCGGAGAACATGTTCCTTGTTTGATCACGCGGGACCCCGTTGCGCTTTGATTCCATCCCGCCAGGCTCTGTTCGACTACTACGCGGTTTCTTTCGACGAGAGCCTCAAGGGCCTCGACTACTCCTCCCCGGAGGCGCTGCGGGAGGTGCTGGGGGGCTTGAGGCCGCGCTACAAGGAGGTCTTCGACGCGGGGTGAGAGGATGATGTTTGTTGTATGCATTCACCCGGGGTTTCGCTCGCGTGTGCATGCCTGCATCCATCCTACGGAGAGAGGGGCAGCGTTCAAGAGCTTGGTCAGGACAGCAGGTGTTCGTGCTTCAAATTTCGACGTGGTACATCACACGAGGAAGCGTTCGTTGTGTGTCCACCCGACCCGTGGAGTTTCTGAAGAATCACGCTAACGACCCCCCCCCCCCCCCCCCCCCCCCCCCCCCCCCCCCCCCCCCCCCCCCCCCCCCCCCCCCCCCCCCCCCCCCCCCCCCNCGCATGTTCTCCCTTTCCGTTCCCCCTGATAGGTGCGGTACGGGTCTTTTGGGACCTTTGTTCCGAGACATCACAGGTACTGCTGAACAAAGGCATTGAGTTGTTCTTTTCGAAATGTTGCGTTTTTCTGTTCTTTTTTTGCTGAACCCCCTTTGGTCCCCCCCCCCCCCCCCCCCCCC